CTCCTCCTCCTCCTCCTCCACTTCCTCCTCCTCCTCCTCCTCCTCGCCTCCCTCCTCCTGCCCCTCCCCCCGACCCGCGCCGGCCCCCTGCCTCGGCCGCCTGGCCCGGCTCGGGGCCCGCTCCCAGCAGCTCCTGAGCCGGCGGCTCCGAGAGGGCAGGAACGGTCGGCACCGCATCGGCAAATCGGCTCGAGTCGAGGAGCGCACGGGATCCAGACCCCCTCGAGTCATGACAAAAATCACCGCGGGAGGCTGTTCGCCACGTGGGGGCCCTGACCGGCCTTCGGGGCAGTGAAGGAACTGTTGCGGATGAGAAACCGGTCCCGGAAAAGGAGGCGAGACCTCTGGGGATCGACGTTATGAAAAAATCATGACGTCGGGGGTTTGGGGATCGGGCTGCATCGGCACGGAGACGGAATCCAATCGGATCGGCTGCGCCAGGAAACACAACGGCGCCATGCAAGCATCGGGCAGCGTAGGATCATCGAAATATCGGAAAGAGCGAGTTCTACCGCTGCTGGCGGAAAACCAGGGGGGGGGGGTCACTGGGGGTTCCCAACCTGTCCCCGGGAGGAGGAGGAGGTGGAGGAGGAGGAGGAGGAGGAGGAGGAGGAGACGGAGGAGGAGGAGGAGGAGGAGGAGACGGAGGAGGAGGAGGAGGAGGAGGAGGAGGAGGAGGAGGAGGAGGAGGAGCAGGAGCAGGAGGAGGAGCAGGCGGGGGAATTCTGCATAGTGAAGCGGCGGTGGATCACGCTCTCTCGAATATCGGAATCGAATCGGATCGAGACGGCCAGAATCGGCATCGAATCGGAGCGATCGGATCAAAAAGGGCCCTGGGTAGGGACCCCCGAGGAATGGGGCCCTCTGGTAGGGATGGGATAGGGACCCCTCGGTAGCTCTAGCGGGGATGGGATAGGGCCCTCTAGTAGGGATGGGATAGGTATAGGGAAGAGGGCCGTCTAGTAGAGATGGGGCCCTCTAGTAGGAATGGGGCCCTCTAGTAGGAATGGGGCCCTCTAGTAGGGATGGGGTAGAGAACCTTCATCGACTGTCCCAGACACTGTTCCATGCGGGGTCCCGAAATCTCGACCCTTTGCCCTGGACTGGCTTTTCATCCGAGTGTTGCTGTCGGCTGCCCCGGGGCCTGGCGATCCTGGAGGGATTGGCTCAGAAGGGCAGGAGAAGCGAAGGGAGCAAGGGGAGGAATGGGCAGAAGGGATCGGAGGTAAAGATGAGGAGGAGGGAGGAGGAGGAGGAGGAGGAGGAGGAGGAGGAGGAGGAGGAGGAGGAGGAGGAAAGGGAGGAGGAGGAGGAGGAGGAAAGGGAGGAGGAGGAGGAGCGCGCGCGCAAGGCCCTACCAGTCTTGTGACCGAAAAAAAAGGCCCATGCGGACATGGCAACCATCCATGGCCGTCCGATCTTGCTCATTACTGGCATGCCTGTGGGTTGGTGATCCCGGCGTGGATGACATCTAGCCTGAGTGCTCGATGGCCTGTCGCTGCACCGGCAGTGCGCGAACCTTCTCGCACGATCGCGTGCTCACGGGCGTGAAGGATGCCTTGCAAAAGGCGTGTCGGGATAGCGCGCGAACCAAGCTGGAATAGTTGCAGTGCCTCTACCCCCAGAGTCGCTGTGCGACGCACTAGACATGTTTGTGATAATCCAGCAAGTTTGGCGGCAACGCGTAAAACCTCCAGCGTGCTCGCGTGCCAAGTGGCACGCATCATGATCATCAAAACACGTACCAGGTTTGCTCTGAAACAAAACTGGAATGGTTGCAATATCCACGTCCACGCAGAGTCAAGTGAATTACGGCGTACTGTACTGAATCGACACCACGCGTTGATGGGCCGCACATGAAACATCGGCTCGGATGGGACACGAATTAAACGCCCGCCAAACATGCCACGGGTCTACTCTGGCTGCCGTTGGCCTCCACACGCTCCTCCGCCAGACAACCGGAAAGCTGGGCGTCCCTATATACAAACTATTTCGAGTGCGGCAGAGGGTCTGCCATTGGCCCACTAAACCTTGCGCCGATTTGACTCCGAAGCCAGATAGCTGCATTTCCCCACGGCGTGGGCGAAGGCGAGGTTTACTAGAAGACCAAGAAGCCCAACGCACGCCATGAAGAAGTACAAACACTGATAGCCACTCGCGCCAGGGTAGGTGTCCAACCAATACCCCGAGATCTTGCCCATGAAGATATCTGGGGTATAGCCAATAACAGAGGTCATCCCCACTGCAGTGCCTGTAAGCCCAGAGGGCAGATTGGCGTCGTCGAGAAGAGCCCAGTAGACTCCTGCAATTCCAAACACACTAGCCGCTGAGGCCACGATCTGAACCACCAACATGCCGTGGTCAAGTGGGTCGATTGGAGACCGTTTGCTTTCTGAATCGGCGATAACCCGGGTTATCCCGTGGGGGGGGAGGGGGCCGGCCGATAACCTAATCCTCGCGCTGTGGGCAGCCCTGCAGATGCCCGCGCCCGCCCTCCCGCGGACCAAGGTTAGGTTGTCCTGGGGGGGGGAGGGGGGGGGGGGGCAAGCCCGATAACCCGGGTTATCGCCCGACCCTAAAAAAAACAGTCTCTTGGTGCCAGGGCAACCCAAAGGTAAGCACAGCTGTAAGACAGGAACAGGCCGCAGGAGACCCTGGACTTGCCCCAGCGATCCGCGGCCGCGCCGGCCACGAGCCCAGACCAGGCACGCATCCCCTTGACCAGTGAGCTAATCTGTGCGGCTTGCACCACGTCCATAGCGTTAAGTCGGGCGTGTCCCCCTACACGGGGATTGTTTGGCAAAAAGAGCCAGACAATCGCCCCCGGGCTGTTTTTGTAGTATTGTCGAATACTCCTCCTGCAGAGGGACAGGCCCGACTTAACCATAGCGTAACCGTACCTCGCAAACCCTGCGAATTGGTCGGTCGCCAGATTGCCAGAGTAGGCCGCTACCACGATCAACGCATGCAGCCAAACAGCGGGCCGCTGAATAATGTCCAACATGATGCTGACTCCTGCAGGAGCCTCTCTAGCTGGGTGCTCATCAGCCCGCACGGCCATCCCGGATGGGAGAGCGAGCATGATCACGAAGGCCATCCCAACGTTGAGCGCGGCCAAACGCATGAGCAACATGGTCAAAGCGTCGTGCTTCACATCAGCGGTAGCTGCTGTCTGGGCCGGCATCGCCTGGCGCATCACGGCAGCCAGGGCAACTGTCATCAATGCTGCTGATGCACCTCGTGAGGTCTGCTCAAAACCGAAAGCGATTCCCGAATGGTCGTCGCCACCGATCCGTCGTATGAGCGATACGTAGGATGACCAGAACAGGAGAGTGCCCACAACTGCCAAACAAGCCCAAACGAGGATCAACTCTGAGAACGAAGGGCCCGTGAGAAGGAAGCAGCTACATGCCGCCGTTGTCAAAAGCGCACTGACCATTAACAACTTCGGTCGACAGCGGTCGGCGACGTAGCCTCCTGGAACGTACAGGCACATGCTGACGATGCCATACACCGACGACAAAATACCAACCTGGTGGTTGTCCAAACCGAAGGTCTCGAGAAAGAGGGGTCGGAAAGACGACGTCAGCCCGTACGGCACAGTGTACAACACCTCGATTGCCAGTGCCATAATCCGCCGAGCCTGTCGGCGAGTGGAAGACGATCTTCCGTTGGTCGCCGTCGTCGTCGTCGTCGTCGTCGTCGTCTTCGTCGTCGTCGTCGTGTCGTCTCCGTCGTCTCCTCGTCGTCTCCGTCGTCGTCTCCTCCCTGAGCGCGCCAGCCGAAGCGACATCGAGCAACGCCGTAGCTAAGTCGAAGGGAAGCCCCTTCCCTTTGGTCCGTTCCCCGCCGAAGGGGCGGGGTCTCGAGACCCGATTGCGGAGAAGGTCCAGTGGGTTGGGCCGCGGGGGTTGGGTCACCACCCAAACATGCCCGCATCCCTCCTGGGCGGTTTCGGTGCCCAAAAAAGCCCCCAGACGCGGCAAGCGTGTGCCCCAAGAGATCCCCAGGACGGCCCTCGAGGGCCCCAGATCGCCAAGCCATCGGTCCAAGACGCCAAGGTAGCCTCCAGACGGCTCAAGAGGTTTTCAAAACGCCCCAAGCGGCCTCCAAGAGCACTCCCAAGTTGTCCTCATTGTCTGAAAGATTTTGGTGTTCTCGCTTTATCCGCTTCCCGAGGCTCCAAGACAGCCCAAAAGGCCCCAAGGATCGCCAAAGAGGCCTCCACGAGGGCCCCAAAACGACCGAGGAGGGCCCCAAGATCGCCCAAGAGCCCTCCAAGACAGCCCAAGAGGCCCCAAAGACGGCTGCAAGAGGGAGCCCAGACGGAGGACCCGAACGGACATTTCGAGCCCTCGCCTGAGAGGCTCCCAGGAGGCCCCCAGAAGCCCATAAGAAGCTCCCCGAGAGGGCCGAGGCTCCCAAGAGACCCCCAGGAAGCCCGAAAAGGACCCAACGAGGCTCCCAAGTGGCCCCCCAAGAGCCTCCCAAGAGGCCCCCGTCGTCGTCGTCGTCGTCGTCGTCGTCGTCGTCGTCGTCGTCGTCGTCGTCGTCGTCGTCGTCGTCGTCGTCGTCGTCGTCGTCGTCCAGGGTCGGCGGCACCGGCTGTACGGCCTCTACAATGAAGATGGACAGGGCCTTCCTGACGCCTCGCCCTGACACTCCCATTGCAAAAATGTTGATGCAGCTCGAGGCCACCATGTTCACTGCTTTAGCCTAGACTTGAATCAAAATTGCTTTAGCCTCAAACTACGGAGGAAGAGGAGGAGGACAAAGAGGCTCCAATAATCCTCGTCGTCCGCTTGTCAAAACTCGGGTCTCCAACGGGCGTTCGGGACGATGCGGGCTCCCCGGGCAAGATCTCGACGAGGTGCAGCTGCTGGAAGACATCCCGAGGCCGGAAAACCACAGGGAACCAGCGCAAACGCCCAAAAACCTCGGACCTCGAACCCCCTGAGTCTGCCCCCCAAACGTTGCCCCTGGCTCAGGGACCCACCCTTGAGCCGCGGTTCCTGTTTTCTTTCCGGGCGAGAACTCGGGGCGATGCCCACATCCCTGGAACGCCTGCGACAAGGCGCGGACAATGGGCACAACCCTGGGCTCCGAAGATCTGTCGACAATATGGCAAAACCTTCGAGAACACGTTCCCACCAACGACCCTCCATCGCGCACACGCGAACACGGATTGCTTGATCTGTGGATCTGGCGCGTGAGCGCCAGGTCCACAGATCGGAGGAGGCACCACCATAACCATCGCGCCATCGCCGCTGAAATGCGGCGACGGGACGCGCCGACTGCGTAGGATGGGAAGCGGCACCCGTCGCTGGCCCACGATGCCCGAATCCCAGACCCCCGACGCCGTGATTTTTCATGACGCGACCCCCAAGAACCTGGACCCCTTACAGGGGGGCGGTTTTTCATCCAGAGTCGTTGTTTGACAGCCCCCGACGCCGTGATCTGTTTCATGTCGTAACCTCCAGGCACCTGGGCCCCTCCCAGGGGACCGGTTTTTCCTCCCGAGCCGTTTTTGACGGCCCCAGAGCCCCAGCAGGGGCCCATGGATGCCCCCCCCCAAAAAAAGGAGGCGCCCGTCTCGTCCCATGGAGGCCTCCGTGATGGGCTCCGAGTAGATGGGGTCGGAGGATCTCGCCGCATCGCCGCTACATCGGCGATGCATCGGGGATGCATCGGCGATGTATCGGCGAGGCGCTGGCGAAAGTCGGCGATGCATCGGCGACGTCGGCATGGAGAAGAGTGGGCCCCACATCGAGCCGCATCACCGATGCATCGCCGATTCGGCTCGATACCCCGACCCCATCTACCCCGACCCCATCTGGGAGGCTGAGGTCTCAACCCTCCAGCCGCGCCGCGAGCGCCCCCGAGCAGCTCGGGGCGGTCGCTCGGCACCTCCCGGCGCAGCCTCCGGCGGTGCCCCCCCCCCGAGGCGCTCCGCGCATGCCGGAGTGCCGAGGGCCGCCCCGGGCTGCCCGGGGGATCGCCACGAGGTGCGGCCAGCCGGGGGATCGCCACGAGGGCGTCCTTTTCTCTGATTCCAGCACCTCCTCCTCCTCCACCTCCTCCTCCTCCTCCCCCTCCTCCTCCTTTTCCTTTCCTCCTCCTCCTCCTCCTCCTCTTCTCCTCTCCTCCTCTTCCTCCTCGTCGTCGTCTTCCTCTTCCTCCGCCTCCTCTTCCTTCTTCTCCTCCTCCCTCCTCCTCCTCCTCCTCCTCCGCCTCCCCTTCCTTCTCCTCCTCCTCCTCCTCCTCCTCCTCATCCTCCTCCTCCTCCTCTTCCTCCCCCACCTCCTCACCCTCCTCCTCTCCTCCACATCCCTGAGAGATCGGCACACGAGCCGTGTGATGATGATGATGATGATGATGATGATGATGATGATGATGATGATGATGATGATGATGATGATGATGATGATGATGATGATGATGATGATGATGATGATGATGATGATGATATGACGGACGTGCCTCCGGAGCCCGAGGGAACCCTCGAGACCGGCACCGAGATGAGGGCATGCCACTCACAGGGACAGGGATCTGTTCCCGGCTGGTAAATGAACCAGGGCAGTGGGGGGGGAGGGCGCTGTCTGCGCGCAGCCCGAAGCCTCACCTCGGCGGCGAGCGGCGGCCCTCTCAGAAGGCGCTGGGGCCTCTCAGAAGCCCTCGGGGCTTCTGAGAAAACTCTTCCGCGTCCAGACGGAAGAAGTCGAGAGGCAGCCTTGCGTCGGGGGAAAAGAGGAGGAGGGAGGAGGAGGAGGAGGAGGAGGAGGAGGAGGAGGAGGAGGAGGAGGAGGAGGAGGAGGAGGAGGAGAGGAGGAGGGGGAGAGGAGGAGGAGGAGGAGGAGGAGGAGAGGAGGAGGAGGAGGAGGAGGAGGAGGAGGAGGAGGAGGAGGAGGGAGGAGGAGGAGGAGGAGGAGGAGGAGGAGGAGGAGGAGGAGGAGAGAGGAGGAGGAGGAGGAGGAGGAGGAGGGAGGAGGAGGAGGGAGGAGGAGGAGGAGGAGGAGGAGGAGGAGGAGGAGGAGGAGGAGGAGGAGGCCCGGGAACGACTTCTCAGACAGCCCGCCCCGTCTGCTGGTGCTTTTCGGGCGCTCCGCTCGGGTCCCCCAACTGGTCGTTCGGGGCGAGCCGGGCATCCCCTGGAACGCCCGCGGCGAGGCGCAGCTGCTGGAGAGCGCGCCCCGAGGCTGCAGAGGACCGCCGAGCACCGACGACGGCGCCCGAACACCTCGAGCCTCGGAGCCAAAGCTTCCCGGGCGCGCCGCCGAGGCTGGCCGCCGATGGCCAGACTCGGGGCCAACCCGCCCCACCTCACTTTGGAGCCGCAGCTCCCGTGGCCCCCATGCGGCCACGGGAGCTGCGGCGCGCCCGGGAAGCTTTGGCTCCGAGGCTCGAGGTGTTCGGGCGCCGTCGTCGGTGCTCGGCGGTCCTCTGCAGCCTCGGGGCGCGCTCTCCAGCAGCTGCGCCTCGCCGCGGGCGTTCCAGGGGATGCCCGGCTCGCCCCGAACGACCAGTTGGGGGACCCGAGGCGGAGCGCCCGAAAAGCACCAGCAGACGGGGCGGGCTGTCTGAGAAGTCGTTCCCGGGCCTCCCCCTCCTCCTCCTCCTCCTCCTCCTCCTCCTCCTCCTCCTCCTCCTCCTCCTCCTCCTCGCTCATGATCCCGTCCCCTTAGGCCCTGCTGGTTCCCTTCAGTGCAGGCGCTGCCTGGCCGTGGCCAGGACCCCAGCCAGCGCCAAGAGCTTGTTGAAGCCAAGGGCAAAGTGTGACCCGTCGCCTATTCTTGCCGCCTTGGCCGCAGCGGCCGAGCGGCTAGGGTGGCGTAGCCAAAGGGGGGACGGTCCTGCTGCTGCTGCTGCTGCCGTGGCTGGGGGGGGTGATGCTACTGCCGACGGGGCGGTGGGGAGTGGGATTCACTTCGAATGTGACGGCCATAAGGTCCAGCGTTCGGGGCCATATTTATTCTGTGTTCGGTGTGGGGTTCGTGTGGCCATCGGTTCTGCCAAAATCGATGCCCTTGGGGAGGTCTGCCCCTCGCGTCCCCCGAACCCCGCTCGCCGTAGAGCCAGGGACTGGCTCGCTGACGGGCGGCACCCAGCAACGGGAGCTAAACTTTATTTCGATTCGTCGGGTTTCTTCGGCGTGCGATGGTTGACTGACCTCGCCTCCTCCTCCCTTCGCCGCCTCCTCCTCCTCCTCCTCCTCCTCCTCCTCCTCCTCCTCCTCCTCCTCCTCCTCCTCCTCCTCCTCCCGTGTCCTCCTCCTCCCTCCGCCTCCTCGTCCTCCTCCGCCAACTCCTCCTCCTCCTCCTCCTCCTCCTCCTCCTCCTCCTCCTCCTCCTCGTCCTCCTCCTCCTCCTCCTCCTCCTCCTCCTCCTCCTCCTCCTCCTCCTCCCTGGGCTCGCCGCCGCGGAGTTCTGGCGTCGCCGGGCCCCACCTTCGAGCCGCGGCTCCTGGGCCCTGTCTGCCTTTTGTTCGGGCGCCGGCCCAGGCCTCGGCGGCCGGTCTCCAGGGCGAGGGCGGCGCCCCCGAAAGCCCGTGACGAGGCGCAGGAAGCGTCAGGTCGGACATGACGTTGTCGGTAACACTGCCGAGTGGCCAGATGTTACACGATCGGGACAGATTTCGACACTGACACCCTACTCGGATGCTATGCTACTACATGGAAGCGGTCGTCCTGCCGTGCTCGACGAGGACGCTAAACACAGACAGGCCGTCCAAACCCTTCGTGTGTGCAGCTTGGCTTTCGAAGCTCACGCTTGGCGAACCTATCATGCGGATTCGCAGTGCTGTCCAACTCGACGCCTAAGGGCGCATTGCATCAGACCCAGTGCCCACCGAAGTTTCGACGTATCTCAGGGATCAATGGGATAACAATGCTTAGATTTGGACCGGCGACAGTGGCAAAGGTGCCACAACATCAGTGCTGAATGCGGCGGTCGACAAGTGCATCACGTAGTCCACCGAGACAATGAGCAAGCTGAGGCATCAGTGCCTGGTCACCATGGGCGGCGATCTGAACTGCTTGCTCGTTCGGCATGCGGCGAGACTCAACCAGGCGAACGTACTCTCGAGCTGAAACCACTGTTGCATTAGACGACTCCTGACATGGCGAGAATCATGTCGCAACGGTTTCGGGATACGCTCGACGACCACCAAATGTCCGTTTTGCAAAAGCTTCCAGGACGCAAATCAGACTGATTGCAACGGCAACATCAGCAGTAATGTTGACCACCATATCATGTTCACGGAAGGCATACATAACGATGTTGCACTGCGAACTCTTCGACCGGCTGGGCAACGGCTGCAGCGACAAGCCACTGCACAGCCGCAGGACCGCACTCCCCTGATGCTTCAGCTGGACGCGCAGCTGAAGCTAGAACACGCGGCCTCTCTACATCCACGCATCCGCAAGGGGATCGCTGATGGGAACATTGTACACGGCCACCTTCGCATGGACTGCCTGACGGAGCTCGGGCGCCTCACAGAACATATCCCCAAGCAAACTTACCAAGCACTGTGGGAGCGAAGGGGCGTTCAGGAAAGCCGGGGTCGCTTGCGGAATTGTAGCCGCGAGTGTTTGCAGAAGCCTTTACCGCCGGGCGAGCACCTCGTCCTCGTCCTCGCCCTCCGCCGGGTTGCCGATGAGCGGCGGGCGGGAGAGGGCCCCGTAGTAGCAGGGGCCTGGAAAATGCATGCCTTGGTAGACGAAGGAGGATGGACAAAGCGAGGTCCGCAGGAGTGG